ACCAAACCCACCAACCTTACTCAAACCCAAGAGCCCCTTGCCAGTCAGTCCGTCCCACACGGACTCACCCAAGGATTGCTTCATCTTGGATAACGTGACTGTCCTCAGCTCCCCACTGGGGGCCTTCGTGGCTGCCTGCTCAGCTGTCCTGCCAGTTCCGTTCTCAAGGGGCCCTTGATTGCCCCCTGCCTTGGCTACCTGCCCATCCAGAGGTCGCGGTAGAGGGGGCCTGGCCTTCCGAGGCTTATGGTAGCGCCCGTTGGCCACGCTGGGGGTGAGGATAGGTGCCGGGGATGGGGAACGCTTGCGTCCGGGGGACTTGCCTCGGCTACGGCTGCGGCTGCGGCTGCGGCTCTGGGCTGGGCCCTGGCTCTGGCTCTGGCTCTGGCTATGGTCTTCTCGGGTCAGGGGTTCTGTCAGCAGCCAGTTAGGCCTCGGGGGCCGGGGAGCAATGGGGGGCGGCTGGGGAGAGGGTGTGCAGGTGCTTCGGCGTGAGGCAAAGGCATCTACTGGCACGTCTTGGAGAGGGGGGATCCCTTTATGAAGGTGGCGGGGGGCAGAGGCACCGAGGGAGACCTGTAGGTCCCCCAGCCGCTCCCTCAGCTCTCCGTCATCTGCCTCCTCAGAAAAGCCATTCACAGGCAGCAGGTAGAAGCCTCCACGGCTGTCTGGGGAAGAGGGCCAAGGTCAGGCTGCCTCCTCATCAGCCCAGACCACCTTCCAGATCCCAGGCCTTGCCTTTGTTCCTGTGGCCTAGGAGACCAGGCCTGGGTGGCTCAGGCCCTGTGGCAGCTTTCCCCACTGTGAGGGACACTGCCCATGCTCCATTGCATAGGATTTTAATACTTTCTGTTGTAATAGTTACAGTTTTTTTTTAATGTGTCTAAACAAATATGACTCACACACCGAATTGGTAATTCCTTGGAGATCATTGCATAGAATGAGACTAGATTTAAAAAGTGAGTGTGTTTAAAACCAATTATTAGGTAAATAATAGTGGTGAGTGGATGTGACAGAAATGGTTCTGGTGGATGAGGGCTTTCCTTCAGGGAACCACACATACCTCTGAAACCACAACCCCCCCCAGTCCCTGGGGCAGGGATGAAAGGAGGTCTGTTCTCCCTTCCCCAGTCCCCCATGGGCGTGCCCTTCCCTGGGCTCTGGGACTCTGACTGACCAGGCACAGGGGTGATGAGGTGACGCTTGGGTGGTGTGTCTTGCCGGGCTGGTCGCAAAGCAGGAGGCCGTACTGATTGGAGAGAAGGGGTCAAGCTGGCAGGGACCAGCGGACAGGCTCCCTGATGGACAAGCTTAAAGGGCTCTACCCCCTTCCCATTGGATATACCACCCCTAGTCCTACCCGGGGTTGGGGTTCAGGATCCACAAGTCCTGACCCCTTGCTGCTGACCTGCCCGGCTCTTCAGGGCCTCAAAAGCCTCCAGCTCCACAGGCATCACCATGCTGTCAAAGCGGCCCAGGTCCGTGGGGGCCACCACACTCCTGGAGGAGGGCGAGATGAGGGTGGGCCAGGGCTCAGTTCTGGAGGTGCCAGGGGCAGGGGCTTTGGCCTTGCAAAGGTTGGGGGAGGTGTCAGGGGTCTCCTTCCTGCCCAAATCCCTCCCTACGACCCCCTCCCCACCTGATGTCCCGCAGCAGCAGCAGCTTTGCCGGCTTGTCCAGAATGGCCAGCAGGGGCCTCACCAGGTCCTCCACACCGCCCTCGTGCACGTACTGCGGAGACAGGCACCACAGGTCAGGTAGCCGCGGAGACTTCCGGAGCTGGGGGAGGGGCTGCTTGGACACGTTGTCGGGGCATGTTAGGAAAGGCTCTCCCCATCCCCAGGTTGTCCACAGGATGTCTTATCTTGGTGACTAGGTGGAAGTCCGCGACAATAATAATAAACTTGTCACCCAGCCAGTGTGGCTCATTGAATTGAGCCCTGTCCCATGGACTGAGAGGTCCCCATTCGATTTCCAGTCAGGGCACATGCCCCAGGTGTAGGCTCAATTCCCAGTAGCCTATTGATGCTCCTCTCTCACATGAATGTTTTTATTTCTCTCTCCCTTTGTCTCTTTCTAAAATAATGTAACAATAATAACAGACTTGTAATAGCAATGACAGGTTTGGGACAGGAACTTTTCTAAGCATTGTACACATGTCTCTCATTTGGGAACCACACTAAGATGACATTATTTATTCCTGGTTTGCAGAGGAAGAAACAGCCTCAGAGAAAAGGACTTTGCCAAGGCCACACAGATATGGAAGTATGGAAAGGGAGTGAAACCTGAGAGGTCTGGCTCTTGTCTACTCTGTACCGGAAAAGGATGTGCATGGAGTGGACTCTACTCCTGCCCCCACCTTCTAAGCAGAAGGAAGGAATTTGAGCCAAAACTAGGCTGTGTGGGCCTGGCTGGTCCATCATTTGCACACCGACCTACAAATTGGGCTTTGTTCAGGGCTGGAATAGGGCCTTGGAGATGGGGTAGTCCTACAGAAGGCCATTTCAGTCAGTATTCAGGATGGTGGAGGCCTTTCTGCCTGGCACTGCCCGGATGCCACCAGCCGCACCCGACCTACGCAGACAAACTGGCAAACTGAACGCTGGGAGCCATCCTAATGGACACATACCTCCCCCTGGTGGTGAAAGGGAGCCACATACTTAGGGACACAAACAGAGCATCCTGTATGGGCATAGACACAGAGAAACAGCATGCCCTGGTGGTCAGAGCAAGACATTCATAAATATCTGGAAATAATAAAAGATAAACTTATACGTGTGGGCCTAAACCACACACAAAGTTATGGGGACTCACACATACACATATCAACAATACGCCCCCAGATAGTCACAGATGTGTGCGCATACTTCAAGTTCACAAACCTGCATTCAGCACCCACTAAGTGCCAGGCTGTGTACTGGAGGGTGGCAGTGGGGGCACAATAATAAAGACCCTGTTCCAGAAGTTCAGAAACTCAGTCTAGTTGGAATGAGGTGCAGAATGAACCATGTGCCCCAGTGAACTACAAAACCCTGACGGAGTCTCAGAGGAGGGTGGGAAGATCAGAGTAGGCATTTACACTGACACTTGAGGATAAATTCAGGGATCAGCATGAAAGTTGGGAGAAAAGTGCTCCACAGGTGATGAGGAATAACGGGTAGATGGAAGTTTAACTTGATCGTGGGTCACATACAGGGCCTCCATGTAGGTAGCGCAGGTTGTGACTACAGTGTGAATAGTGCCCCTAGGGTTGTGCAAGTCATAACCTGTATAAACCTATGTGGTGACCAGGGGAAGATGATAATGTGGCGACTATGGGAAAGCTGAGGTTAGTGGGTTGGGGAGTCAAATCAGGGAGGGCTTTTAATGTGAGAACAAGGGACTTGTACTCCATTCTGTCAAGAGGTTACAAGGGACAATAGGGAGTGTAAGGTGATGGGTCGGTGATTTATAATGCCTGGTCTGGCGGCTGTGAAGAGGTGGCTAAGATGGGGAGAGAGAAGGGGTTCAGGGCCACACATTAGAATCATTAGGGGAGCTTTACTAATCTTTCAGGCCACCCCAGAGGGTCTGAACTCGTGGTGTAGGTATGGCTTGGATCAGGTTTGGGTGGTATTTGCAGTTCCTTAGGTGCTGTGGAGATAGAGTGAGAGCCATCCTAGCTTGGGTGGTGTGGGAGGAGCTGAGGGATGATGGAAAAGGAGCGAATAAAGAAACAGACACAGAGCTCCGCCTAGTGGCCATAGCCCAGAGTTGCAGGTCTACAGAGGCTGGTACACATAGCCAGCCCCACCTACAGCTGAGAGCTGAGCATGACACTGAGTAGAGCCCAAAGGCCCTTAGCTACCCCAAATATGCACCCCATCTCAGGGGACCCTGCTGTAAGCCAGGCTTTGGTAAAGGGATGCATGACTTGCCACGTCTCAGTCTCCAGGTGACACGTACATTTCTTAGCCAGACACATGCACACACACAGATACAATCCTATAGCTAAGTCGACAAAAACCCAGGTACCCCACAGACAGACAAATGCACACATCACACAGACATACAATGCAGCCCCAGTCTGACCAAGGTGAGGGGGTGGGGGATCCACAGATGATTTCCTGAGATTCCTCAGATTGCCTCTGCACATAGACTCGCGTGTGCACTGACGCAGATTCATCACAGGGAACCCATCACAGAAACCTGAAGGTTTTGAGGTGGTGGGAAGCCCTAGATATTGGAGAGGGCCTTCCAATCCTTCTAGAGGCTGCAGTCTGTGCCTCCTGTAGTCTCCCCAACATTCAGGCTACAAAGACTCCCTCAAATATAGCCTCTACCTCACCCTGGGCCCTCTGGTCTGTTTGAAGTAGAAGAGAACAGAGAACAACAGTGTAGGTGTTGGGGAGGTTTGGGCTATGTGTGTGTGGGGGGGAGGGACAAGCGATTACTTACCTGTGCCAGGCCTGCTGGCTGACCCAGGAGCAGAAAGAGTTATGGGGGCGGGCTGGGGTTTAGGGGAAAACGGAATAGGTGACTGCAGGGACTCGCGTCCCCCAACTCATCACCTGTCTGACTTCTCTCCTCAGCTTAAATATCACCTCCTCAGGGAGGCCCTCCCAGACCACATCTAATTTGTGCCTCTTGGATTATTTTCTCATGTTCTTTTCCTTCATAGCACTTCACATGATTTGTCACTAGTTATTATAACTAGTTTCTAGTTACTGTCTAGCTTGCCTTCTGGCTGTGAGCTCAGTGTGTATGTGTCTGTGTGTGCATGTGACAGGGGTGACTTCTGCTTTTAATGACCACTGGCCTCCTAGTTGAGCCCAGACAGTAGCCTGAATAAATGAGGGCCTGGGTGACTAAGTGACCATATGCTAGAGCTGGGGGCGGGGGTGGGCTGGAGGCTCACCCGGGAGCAGTGGCGGGTGACGGCCAGCACCTCGTCATCAGTCAGCAGCCGCCGGGCTAGGTCCTGAATAAGGGGCCGTCGGCTCTCCCAGGCCTGCACCTGCTCATCCACATTGGGCAGCTGGCTGGAAGGGCTCCCAGACCTGGCAGAGAGCAGAGCCCGGCCTCTCTCCCGATCTGCAGGGCAAGAGCAAGGGGGTATGATGGAGCCTGGAGCCATCAGAGGAGGAGGTAGGGGCTTCTCTAAATGGGAGTAAGATCCCAGGACAGGCTGGCTGAGAGGCCCAGGTGCCTAGCCCAGATGCTCCCCACCATAATCTCCCATAGTGATCTGCCCACCAATGGCACTCTACCCCAAGCCTGTCAGTCCCCCAACACAGGCTCTATACCAGTCTGTTCCTTAATGGAGTCCTGGCCTAGTGGCCCCTGGGTCCCCTGAACATACACTGCCATGCTAGTCTGGTTCCCATTGGAGTTCTCACAAGGCTTCTTCAGCTCCCCCAGATCTGTCCTTGGGCGTCCCAACCCAAGCTCCTCAGTCCTCAAAAATGTACCCCAGCATCTGTCTGCAACCTTATCTTTCCTAGTTCAGTTCTTTTAGCTACCCCCAATATGCACCCCCTATCTGCCTGATCCCCCATGCTTGATCTCAACTGAGTTTAGCCCAAAGCCTCTTAGCTGCCCTCAACATGCACCCCATCAGCATCTCTGCTGTAAACAGGCCTTGGTAAAGAGATGCACAAATTACCGCGTCTCAGCCTCCAGGTGACAAACTTCTGCACAGGCCCCACTCCCCCTGCTAAGAAGAAGAAGGCTCAGCAGCAGGCCCTGGCCCCATCTGAAAATGGGGGCAAGGTGCTCCGGCTGGATCACTGGTTAAATGGAGAGTTCAGGCTGGGAGGCGGTGGGACAGGGAGGCAAGAGGCCAGGCTGGGAGGGTCTTGAAGGCCATGCTCAAGCTAAGGACTTTGTTCATAGGCAAAGGTGAGGGTCAGTGAAGGTTTTGGATCAAAGAGGGTGTAGTATAAGCTCTGCTTATAGAGATTCATTTGGAAGCAAATATATGAAGGCAAGAAGGCTAAGGACAAAGTTTCAGGGGACAAAGAGAAAGAGGAGAGCCTCTGAAGGAGAGAGAGGAGGGGCCTGAGAGAGGGGGAGACCAGGAGAGAGCGAGGCCCCAGAGGCTGTGGAAGAGAGGTGAGTTGAGGAAGGGGGTCAAGCCTGCCCCTTATTTGAAGGGATTGTCTCTCCCATGGGACTGTCACCTTGAGACCCCAGGGAAGGGCAGGGCTCAGCTCCTCATCCTCTGGTTGTTTTTGCCTACCCAACATCCATTCTCCCTTCTGGAACAGAACCTTGATTCCACCGGGGCTCATGACCTGGCTGGTTGATGAAAGCCTCTCTCTCCCACATCACAGTGATTTGTTGGGCATGTGGTCCCAGCTGGGCCAGTGAGAGCCTGCGACTTCAGCTGGGACCCTTTAAGGAGAAGCTGTCTTCTCTTTGTGTTGCTAAGCGGCAGTGGCCACCTTAGCTCAAGTGGGCAAAACCTGCATGATAGTAAAGCCAACCGGGAAAGGGAACCAAGTGATGAGAGGGGCAGATGTCTGATGAGATTGTTTACATCTTTAGACCCAGCTTAAGTCAGTAGCTGAGCCAAAAGGTGCTTTTTAAATCTACTTTGAGTTGTTTCTGTCACAGGCAACTCCAAGAGTCAACTCGTCTACTCTTGGTCCAATCTCTGAACCTCACCTGGGAGATGAGGGGCCCTCTGTAAGAGTCCTTAGGAAGCCCCTGATGTGAGTGAAGCCTGCCTAGGCCCTTCCTCCTGAGCCCTGATCTAGAAATGGCCTTGCTCAATGATGGTTCTAGAACTGGGTAGGGCCTGTGGAGCTCTGGCCAGGGAAGGTGATGCCAAATATTCTAAGAAAAGAGTGTTTTCCCCTCCCCTCAGCAATAAAAGCATAGGGATTGGACCCAAGTGCTTCCATTTCCTTCTGTGCTCTGACTCTATCAGTGTTCCCTTCTGTAAAATGGGGAGATGGGGCAGTATGACAATGACCACCACACTTTCTGGATACCTGCTGTGTGGCAGACAATGTCCTAAGTCATGAATATACACGAATCCACTTATTCCTCATTATCCCTAAAGATATAAGTCTTGTTACTCTGATTTTACTCACAAGGAAACTGAGGCTCACAGGGTGAGGTGGTGACTCACAGCTAATAAAAGGCAGCGTGGGGCTGGATGCCAACGTGGATTTTCCACTCTGTCTGACCAGCCCAGCACTCACCTTTCTCCATGTCCAGGCGAGGACGGGGCTTGGCCGGGCTCCCTCTCTCCAGCGTCCAGGCCTCTCTGCTCCCATCCCCTGCCGGCCGCCCCTGCCGCCCTCCCTTGAAGAAGAGGTTCATCAGTGTCTTGGAGCGCTGCAGGGCCCCCTTCTCCCCAGAGGGCCCCGACTTCTCCTTCTTCCGCTGCTTCTTCTCCTCTGCAGACACGAGGGAGCACCCAGGGGGCTGGAGGGTGGGCAGAAGGGAAGGACCGGGGCAGGGGTGTGGGGAGGGGCAGAGAGAAGGGAGAGTAGGAGGACAGACAGGGTCTGCAGCTATGTGGGGAGGTGGGGATGAAGGCGAGAGTGGGGGTCCTCCTCCAATTTATCCACAGCTACAGCTCTGTGAAGAATCCATGAGGGCTGGAGTGTGTGTGTGTGTGTGTGTGTGTGTGTGTGTGTGCACGCACAGGTCTGGGAACTCCAGGCTGGAGGGGCTTGGTTAGGGTTCTTTTGGGGCCCAGAGCTGACTGGGGCTGGGTCAAGGCCTGGGGCAAATGGAGGTTTGGGGCTCAGGACAGGGTCTAAGGGAGGTTTTAGACCAGAGGCTTTAAAGAGAGCAGCAGGCACCCGTCCCCCACGTACCCCACAAAGTCAGGTGGCTCTGGGAGCGTGTGATGGGGGGCCGGGGTCGGCTGAGAGCCAGCAGCAGAGCAGTCTTGGGGGACTCAGAGAGAGCAGAGTCAAGGCGGCGGGCAGCCAAAGGTCCATCGGAGCGGATGGCTGTGTCCCTGAGGATGACTGTGGGCCGCACGCTGCACCAGGTCTCCACGCGGCCCCCCACATCGGGGTCTGTCTGCATGGCTGTGTCTGCTCGCCCCCACCCGGGGCCACGGCCGCTCGGCTCCTCAGGCCCCAGGCAGACGTCCATTCGGTCAGAGGGCAGGGAGCTGGAGCCCTCAGCCGAGCTGTAGGGGGCACTGGAGGCGTATGAGGAGACGCTGGAGCTGCTCTCTGAGGCCTGGGACAGCTGCTGCAGCACCCCGCTGCTCACTGTGGGCAGTGGGGAAGGCAGGGGCATCTAGGGGGTCTGGCCGGTTTGCTTCAGGGCCCTGCCAGGCTTGCAGATCACCCCTGGGCTTGGTTCGGGGAGCATCCAATAGCAGCTAAGGTTGGAAGCGTGGGATCTGGGGACACAGCTGCTCAGCATCCTGCCAGCAGGATGAGACCTTGGGGAAGTCACTGCTCCTCCTTCCACCCCCTTGGGACTCCAGGCCCTAGGAGAGCCCGCAATAAACCTGCAACTTCTCAGCGGAGAGCCCAGAAACAGCTCTGGGCAATGTGAACGTGTGGGCAGTGTGAAAATCCCAGCAAGATTTTGGTTCCCCTGTCCATTTATTCTTCAGAGATTCTGGCCCCACCCTCAGGCTTCAGCCCTTTCCCTTCAACATTGGGGGTCTGATCCACTTACATCGGTCCAGCCAACAATACTCAGAAACCATCTCCTTGTAGGCAGGGTACCGGCCAGTCTCCTGGGGAGGGCATGGTGGGCGGAGGAAGGCATGGGGAGCGGGTCAGGAGGGAAAGTAAGACGGGGAGTGATGGGACAGGAGTAAACTTTTCAACCCTATCACTTTCCTTCATCATGCTCCAGCCACATGAGCCAATTTCTTTCTGAACATGCCAAGTTTCTTTACACCTCAGGGCCTTTGCACTTGCTGTTCCTTCTGATTGGATTCTCTTCTTTCAGCTCATCTTGAGGCTAGCTCCTTCTCCCTCTTCAGGTGTCACCTTCTCAGAGAGACCCGCTCTGACCCCCCAGACGAGAGGGGTCTTCCTAAATTACTCCATCCTATCTCTGTTAATTTCCTTATAGCATTTGTCACAATCTTCATGTATCTAGTTTATTTATCTGTCTCCCCCAGTAGCAGAAACCTTGTCTTGTTCACTGTTGTAGCCTCAGTACCTTGCATAGTAGCCATCATATAATAGATACTTAAAAATATTGAATGAATAGATAGATGGATGGATAAATGAACAAATGAACGAACGAATGAATGGCAAAGTGGGAGTAAGGAGGAGGATTGGGATCATTTGAGGAAGGACAGGGAGAAATGGAATGTGGGGGAGGTGGGAAATAGAGGCAGTGGGGGCAGGGAATGGTGAAGGAGGCACTGAGTGGTGGAATGGGTGAAAGGCTTGGAGAAGGGAGAGGGTGGAGCAGGGGCCAGGATGAGGCACTAGGGAGAGTGAGGCATCGCCTCCTCCAGGAGCCAGGGTGAGAAGGACCTAATCCTCAGGCAAGTGTGAGACCCACATGAATAATGGATCTAGCCACCTCCCTGAAACCCAATCTCTGGTCCCAGCCCGGCCCTTCTTGCCCCAGACCCTGTGGATGCCCACCATCTACATCCTGCCCAAAGCCACGGCTATCACCCCACCCTTCTGAGCAGGACATTTTTTTTCCTTTTAATCCTAGGCCTTCACCACTCATACAAAGGGGCACTGCCCTAGACATCTGGGGAGCAGGCCTGGAGCCAGGCCCTGCTCCTGACCAGCTGAGTAATTGACTGTGGTTCCTCAATTACTTTGCCTCTCTGAGACTTACTTTCTTCTCCGGCAAAATGAGCACAGTGCCTGCCCTACCCCTCATGTGGCTGTGAAAAAGTCAAATTGCAGAGCAACAGGCACAATTAAGTACTAGAGTGCTCTAGGAAGTCCTTCCCACAGTCTGGCCTCTCCCCGACTGCCACATGTCTGCCCACCTTGATGGTCAACATGATGTGCGTTTGGCCCTTCAGAACCTCCACGGCTTGGCTGTGGCTGATGTCGTCGAACCTGACACCGTTGGCCGCCAGGACCTGGTCTCCCACCTTGATGCCGTTCTCCTCGGCCAGCCCACCATGGTCCACTCTGGGGTCAGACAGGCAGCAGTCTGGCAGGACCCGTGGCCCGTCCTCCCTCACCCCATTCCAGACTCTCTTCACTTAGATACAGAAATGCCCCAGTCAAACTCCCAACCCTCCTCCTGGTGACCCCACCCCCTTCTGCAGATCCCACCCCTGACCTAAACCCTCATTTCAATATGTAGTTGGCCAGGCCTAACGCATTCCCAGGTCCCAACCTAGGCCCCATTTCAAGCCCCATTCCCTATCCTGCCCATTTCATTCCCTGCCCATTTCTCACTTGGACACATAGATGCCCAGGCCAAACTCCTTGCCCCCACGGATGTTGAAGCCCAGGCAGAAGTCGTCGGAGGTCGTGTAGAGGTGAACGATGCGCCGCACACCATCTTCTGAGCTGCTGTCTGAAGGCGTTGAACCGCACTTCTCCACTACCAGCCGCCGGTTCACCACGTCCACCCTGGGGCAGCAGCAAGGAGCCCTCCGTCTGGGTCCCTATCTGTCACCCACCCCCTCCCAGCAGCTCCCACAGCTGCATGGGAAACGTGGGGTTGTCTTTGGGGAACTTCCAGATCTAAGATCTTCAATAGGATATAGATTAATCAAATCTGGGAAATCACCCTAATTTTCTCTTTTTATTGAGCAACTGCAACATGCCAGGCCCATCTCGAATCCTCATAGGCCTGTGAGGAAGAGGCACTGTTACATCTCAAACTCACAGCAGCAGCAGCAGTGCACAGGGGGCAGAGTTCCTGGGGTCTGGGAAAGCAGAGCTGTGGGGAGGGCTGGGGGGAGGCTTGGCCTTTTCTCATTTTAGGGTCAGGGCTTAGGATTCCAGCCCCAGGGGTGGGAGAAGCAGAAGCCATGCCAGCCAGGCCCATGCAGAACCCTGTGCCCTCAGCCTCTCCTGCCATGGCTTTGGGTAGGGGTGCCAGGGTGGGCAGGGTAGGCCTTCTCACCACGTGGTCTTCTCCTTGGAGAATTTGATGCCTGGCACGCGGCCCATGCGCCTCACCATCATGTGCAGGCGGCTGCTGCCTGTCAGGACCTTCACGGCACTGCCCATGGTGGTGCTCTCCAGGCTCAGCCCATTCACCTCCGTAATCTTGTCCCCCACACACAAGCCAGCTCGCTCTGCACCAGAGAGGGCGGCTGTTGTGGGCCATTTGGGAGAAGTCCTCCAGTGTGAGGCTGAGTCCCCATCAGACCAGGCTCCCTGGGGTAAAACTTCCCTGAGATTGGAGATCCCCAGGTAGGGTCTATATGATCCATATTAGACTAGGAACCTGTCCAGTAGCCCACTCTGCCCGGGGAGGGGGCTCCATCTTCTCATCAAATCAGGCCCTCCAAAGCTAAGGGCCCTTCCTCCCATCCCTGACAAGAGCACCTCTGTACCCCACTGAGATGGGGTTACATACATCTCCAGGACCTCCCCCCTGGGGACCCTACTCACCTGCACTGCTGCCCTCCTCCACCTTGCTGACGAAGATGCCCAGGCCATGCTCAGAGCCGCCCCGCACACTGAAACCCAGCCTCCCTGCTGGGCTCTTCTCCACCCGGACCGCATGGATGATGTCGCTCTCATCACTGTTGGCTGTGGGGGTAGGGACACAGGCATGACTCCCATGCCTATTCTGAGCACAGTGGACCGGGTCCACTTGGGCATGCAAAAGCTGGGTTGCTGGGCACAGGCATCCAGGGACCTAAATGGGGGGTGGGGAGTCAATTTCTGATTTCCTCTGGGTGATTTTGAGACTATAGGCCAGGGAGGGAATGGAAGATAGGACAGGACTTCATGTGGGAAGAAACTGTTCTTTTCCCCTCATAATATAGCTGTGTGTGTGTGTGTGTGTGTGTGTGTGTGTGTGTGTGTGTGTTTATCTAATGCTTAGTAAGCTTCCCATGCTCACAGGCCTGGGATAGACCAAATACCTAAAACTCTTGGTAGTCCGAGGGTCAAAGGGATAGAAAAGAAGTTTAAAAATCCATTCTGTGCCCTGGCTGGTTTGGCTCAGTGGTTAGAGTGCCAGCTCACAGACCAAAGAGTCACGGGTTCTATTCCAGTCAAGGCCACGTACTTCGAATGATTTTGGTCCCCGGTCCTGGTCGGGGTGGTGTGGAAGGCAGCCAGTCGATGTGTCTCTCTCAAATCAATGTTTCTCTCTCTCTCTCTCTCTCTCTCTCACCCCTCCCGCACACTCCATCTGAAGATAAATGGAAAAATATTCTCAGGTGAGGATTTTAATAAATGGAAAATATCCTCAGGTGGGGCACAGTCTGGCCTCTTCAGCTTGCAGGGGAAATTAGTATGTTAGCTCTATCTTCAAATAGCTGAAGAACTATTAAAGGTATTAGATGTTTTTGACTGTACAACCCAGAGGAGAGAACAAAGCTCACACAGTGAAATTATATGGAAGCCCATTGAGCAAGGGAGAAGTTTCTAAAACTTTCAGCCAATAGATATAAAATGAGTTTTCCAGGAGGGAGAGTGAGTTCCTCATTTTTGAAGGCATACAAGCTGAAACCTGGTAAATTCCTGTCTAGGATGTTGTGGAAGGATCCCTGAGGCACCGTCTATCTCTTAGACCCTGTGATTCTGGAAGTAAGGGCTCTAAGAGCTACCTGACTATATGAAGAGAGAAACCACAAACAATACCATGTTACAGTATGTGCCCAGAGCCCAGAGTTGTCCTCTCCACCAGTGCTGGGGAGGAAAGTCAGAGGAGGAGGATTCCCAGAAGCTGGAGTTGTCAGAGAAGGATTCTTGGAGGACGAAGATGAGTGGAATTTGGATGGGTGGAGGGAAAGGGGAAGACATTGAAGAAGGAATGGAGTGAGCAAAAGCTCAGAGGTGGGTCCTTGAGGAGGCCTTTTAGTTGGAGAAAAGTGAGAAGACTGGAGGTGTAAATTCTCTCAGGTGAGAAGGTGAGATTTCTTCTTGGGCAAGGTTTACTCTAGAAGAAATATCTCTCTCTCTCTCTCTCTCTCTCTCTCTCTCTCTCTCTCTCTCTCTCTCTCATCTATCTATCTATCTTCTGATTCATCTAAGAGAAACCAGGTTACAGTGCATGACCAGGGCAGCTCAGGAAGAAATCCCCAAAGGCAGCCTGTTAGCCAGGATGTGCAGTAGGGAAATGTGGAGATCCTGAGGCTTCCTAGCTGATTCTATCCGCACAGGTTTTGGGACCTTTTATCCCAGCCAAGGAGACTTTTGCTCACCCATCCTCCTACCCCCTTTCTCAGTCCATCCCTGGGCCATCCCTAGGGCCTTGGGCCAGGGATATGTGAAATCTGGGGAGTTTGAGTCTAAGAGCTTGGAGTATCCCAGGATGAAACCTTCTCTCCCTCCACTGCCCTAACCCAGGCCAGCTCCTTCTCCCTCCAGGCACTGTGCAGCCTCCCCACTTCCCTCCCACTTCTGCGCTCGCCTCCTTTAATTCACTTTCTACACAGTGACCAGAGTCAGCTTGTATAATGGATCATGCCTTTCCTCTGATAAAAAGTTCAGTGCCTGCCCCCACACTCTTCCTATGCCCAATAAGGCCCTTCCTAGGTTTCCTCTGCTCACCACTCTCCCCTCACCACTGGACTCCCTCCCTGGCCTCCCTGAGCATTCGCTAAGTGACCTCCTTCCTGTTTCTCTCATGGGCCAGTCCTTCCCAGAGAGGAGCAGAGTTGCCCAGCTGGGTCAGGGGGGAGGGGCAGGGTCTAAAAAGTCCAGTCTAGGATTCAGCCAGGGCACTGTGCTGGCTGAAAGATAGGAAGAGAGCTGGGGATATTTATCTGGTCCTGTCTACAGAAAGCCCAAGCCCAGGGGGCCCTCACTTCCCTGCCACCATTCAAGGTCCTACTTTGCTCATCTGCTCTTTGTTGTCTCACACCTGTCATTGCAGCCAGATTGTCTCTTAAGTGGCCACCCATCATGCCCCATGCTTTCCACTTCCATCCTTTGTCTGTGATACTTCGACCCTGTCACCAGCTGTTCTCATCGTCGTCTCCAAGCCCTGCAACACTGTACATTTCTGAAATTGAAGACTGAGCCCTATTTCTTTCTAGGTTTCCCGCAGAACCTACAGGGTTGGTACAGAACTGGTGTGCAATGAAATAGCATCAAGCATCTACATAAGCTTATGTCTCTCCCTCCTTCAGGGCCCAGTCCTGGGGCTCCTTCCCTGATTCCCCACCTTTCTTTTCTCCCCACTCTTCTAAACATTTGCTACTCTATCTTCATCTCCTTCCTTTTGCATGTGAAGCTTTTCATTCTGTCTACCCAGCTGGGCACTGGCTCCTCACAGCTCAACACAGAGCTGGTCACACAATCGGCTGGTTGATGGAGGATGTCCTTCATCCTGCACATGCCCCAAAGGCATACACAAATGGGTGTGGACAAAGGTAGAGTCCATGAAATAGAGGGGACAATTCAATACCCTGCCTAGCTCACTTGGGGGCTAGCATACCACACATATACACGTGCACGCACACAAAGACACACTCACACACCTTTCCCTGTCACCATGCCCTATTTCCCACCTCTGATCTCTTTACAATCCTGGATCCCTAAAGGATTGGCCTGAAGGAGAAAAATAAAGTAGATGAGGAAGAGTACATGATTTCCCAGATGCTTCCCCATCCTTAAGACTCCCGTCTCTTGAGTTCTCCCACCAATATTGGCTCTGCCTCTGTCTATTCAGTGCCATATGTGTTCTCCCCCCTCCCCTGCTCCCGGGCTATGGCTGGGCCTGCCCCCACCTTCGATGGGGGAGTTGATGAGGATGACTCGGCCCATGGGCGATGAGGCTCGGATTCCGCGGGGGGGCCCATTCAGCAGCCGCTGTTGCTTCCTCAGCAGGTATCGCGTTGCGGAGCCTGAGTCGCTGCCCAGGTGGCCTCGGGAGGAGAGGGAGCTCAGAGAGCCAGAGCTTAGGTCTCCAAGGCCCAGTGGGTCCAAACCCACTGAGAAACCGTGCGCCATGGTGGCTAGACTACAGGTCCCAAAGGAACCTGCTAGCCCTCCAGAGAAGGATCCTGTGTGCCCTGGACTCCATGAGCCTTCTGGGCAGAACTGGGGTCCCAGTGAACAGGAGTCCCCCACCTCTGCTGCCTCTCTGGAATGTACAGTAGGCCTGTGCAGGAAGACGCGCATATTGGATGAGGGGTGTGAATGCTGCCTCCCCCCAATTTCCACCCCTCCCCCTTGTTTGAGCATCCTGCCCTCCCATGCCTTAGGCCCCTCGCCTCTCCCACCCTTGGCCAGTCCAGGCACCATCGTGGACTTTTGGAGCTATTCCCACAACTTGGATAGGAACCTCTCCTTCACCCCTCATTCCTGCTCTTAGCTGAGTTATCCTCAATCCTCACGGAAGGTTGAGAGAGTGAATAAGATGGGATTGTTGCAGGCCCTGGGGCTTCAAGCGGTGTGAGAGAAATTGGGGCCAGGGCAGTTCACCGCACACCTCCAGTGTATGGGAGTAGGGGGGTAGCCAGCATTTGGTGTTCAGGCCTCAAGGGCAGGGCTTCAGGACCTGGGACAGCTGCGGCCAAAGATCACAGAGATTCCCTGGCCCTCAGAGACTCCCCGGGCTCTAGACTGCTGTCTCCTCTGTCCCCCCTCCTCTCTGGTCTAAAGAGGTTGCGTGACCCTCTCCCAGGCTTGGTGGAGGACCTGCTGGCGAGAGCCCCACAACATCCCGCACAAACCCGGGGCTAAGTTCCCCAAGGTAGATCGCAGCACCCCACCTCCGGCTTGATCCTCCAGGTCCCTCCTCCTCTCGGTCTTGGTCTCCGGCCCCCTCACCTGCTCGTGTGTGCGGCGGCCGGGGCCTCGCCCGCCCGCGGGCGCGAGCTACTGCCGCATTAGGGGACCCCGCCCACTCCTCGCCGAGGCGGCAGGAGCTGGGCTGGCCGGAGCCGCCCCGCGCTCCCATTGGTTGAGGGGGCTGCCAATTACTCCCTCCCACCACCTCTCTTAGGCACCCAGGAGAGCTGTTTGTCACCTGGGCTGGGGCCGTTGGGTCTATCTACTCCAGTTTGAGTTCTGATGCTCACTTCGACCGCGAATTTAGGGCGTGGACCTCGGCTTGCCCTCCTCCCACTAATAGTTCAGCACAGGGGAGCCCAGAAGCTTGTCTTCTCCAGTCCAAGCCAGCTACCAGGGCTCACGGAATTGCCACTCCTCCGCTGTCACCCCCGAGGCCTCAGTGAGGGAATGTCACCTGGGCAGAGCGGGGCGTGATCCTGCGGTAGGCAGGAGTAGACTGGAGCCTGGGTGTGGGGCAGACATGCGCTGTACTGTCGTACTGTGACTGGGTGGTGTGTGTGTGTGTGTGTGTGTGTGTGTGTGTGTGGCTGAGAGCTGCTTTCTTCACACGCATCCTCCTCCTTTGTGAGTGAGAAAGTGTCTCTCTGGCCACCCAGTTATGGAAAGGTCACAGGGAGCAGCAGCTGGTTCCAGGACAGTATGGGAGGAAGAACCTTTCTGATCCACTTGTTTGATGCAGTCAGAGCCCCGAGGCTTCTGCCCCTTCACATCCTAGGGCTAAGGTCTGTAGTGCAGGGTAGGATTGGGGACACATGGAAACAGGGGACCCAGTGAAGCTAAGGGTTACAGAGGAGAATAAGGAAGGGGCTGGGGAGGAGGAAAGGACTGGGGACATAGAAGGCGCACAGACAGGAGAGGAATGGGGCTGTGAGGGGTGTGAATGCCCAGGTGCTATGAGGAAGGAGCTTGTAGGAACTGGGGTAGGAATCCAGGGGTGCCAAGTAGGCAGAAACCACTGCCAAGGCAGCCAACAAGTAAACAGGCCTGGAGGTAACCCGAACCCCTCCGGGCGTACCATCAGAGATGGCCCCTGCACGCCGCCAGCCCGCTCCCTGCAAGTGTTCGCCCTGGACACCTAGACCTCCTGCTGCCGAGGCCAGGAGCCTCCCGAGGCCGGCCAGGGGATTGCAAGCACCCGCGGCTCCTCCCCTCCTCTCTCTGGCTGAGGACAGGACCAGAACTGATCCCAGAGCCAATCCGGGTAGCGTGGCTCCAGATCCCCGTGGCCCAGGCTGGGGGCGTCGTCCCAAAAGACACCCACTGCCCACAGGCCCTGCCAATCCCTGGGCACGGCGGGCGGACGCGCGGGGAGGGGGGGGGACGGTAGCCCCCGCCCCTCCCGATGGTTAGCGTCACGCGTGACGTTGCACGTGATGGATGAGAAGGCGGGGGCGACGCGGAGAGTAAGGCGGGTGTGAGAGCTGCAGAAGCCAGGAGCTCAGGAAAGTGTAAGTGCTCCGGCAGGGTTGGGGGGGCGGTCAAGCGGGTAAGGGGTTGAAGGCTGGGAGTAGGAGAGGAAGGCCTGCCTTCTCTGTCCTTTCCGGATTTAGTATATTCGTCTGTAGGGAAGTCCATAGGGCACCAGTAGGAAAAAATGTCAGGGTGGGGCTCTGTGTGGTCACATATTCAAGTGTCTGCAATTAAGGGATATGGGCTGTGGTTTTGTGTGTGTGTGTGTGTGTGTGTAGTGCAAGTAACGGTCTTTGTGGACCAGTGCATGCAGGGTGTGTCCACCCTGTTTGTGTGTCTGTGTAGGGTGAGTATGATGGTGTCTTTGTGTATGGGTATGTGAGTGTGAGTGTGTGAGGGAGGGGAGGGTGTGTCTTCCTGTGAGGGAGGAAGTGTGGTTGAAGATTAGTCATTCTGTAGAATTTTGCCAAATGCAGCCAGATGGCTGTTTCAGGCATTCGTGTATGTGCTGGGTGGAGAGGACACTTAAGAATCCCACCTCTTTCTGGAGGCAGGCGGTTCAGAGGGAGAGGTGGATGGCTGACTGTGCCAGTCCTGCCCAGCTGGAGAACAAGGGGAGCCTTGGGCCATTCACTGTGGGTTGAACACACACACACAGCTGGCATGAGAGTCCCCTGTTTGAGATGTGGAATAGATCAGCCGTAGGGTGGCCAATGAGCTTCTGTTCTCCAGTCAGAAGCTGGGGCGTGGGATGGCTTATCCTATCTTCCCAAACAGCCTTGGGAGTTTGTATCCAGGTCTCAGAGCAGCTGGGGCCTAAAGCTGACATGAACATAAATGTGGAATGCATATAATATGTATTTTTGTGCATACAAAGCATAAGAGCAGCTGCATGGGATTAGTTGCTGCTCATGTACCAACCACACGTGTTAATTCTCTCATGAAAATCTGCACCAGGCCAGAGCACAAGATCTGTTTTCCTGGTTCTGTCCCCACTCACCTCCCTCCACCCCCCAGCCTCCTCCAGTGGTGGTAAGTCCCTGGGCCAGGACATTGCCTAGAAAACAGCTCCTCCCCCCACTGTTGCTTACTGATCTGGAGTCACCTTGAGCTCCAGAAGGGATTGGCAATAGGCCCAGGGACCAGGGCAGGGCCACCAAAGGCTCCCCCAGGTAGAGCCCTTGGACCCCCTCCTCTTACCCTGCTCTCTGCCCTGCAGAAAATGGGTGAGTTGCCCTTAGATATCAACATTCAGGAACCCCGCTGGGATCAAAGCACATTCCTGGGCAGAGCCAGACACTTCTTCACTGTTACTGACCCCCGAAATTTGCTGCTATCTGGGGCACAGCTGGAAGCTTCCCGGAACATCGTGCAGAACTACAGGTGACCCTGTTTCCCATCTGACCCTGTACCCCAGGTCTCATTCCCTGCAATTAATACAGTACCTTTTGTACCTGTCTCCTGAGGCTTGAGAGTGACCCTGTCCCACCCCTCACTCCTTGTCTCTATCTGTTGGAATCACAGACAACTATGGCACAGAGCTTTAACCCAAAAGATTTTAGGGTGTTTGGGTTGAGAAGGTGGCCTTGATATTTATGTCTCACAAACTCTCTACAGGGACCCATCCCACTGCTGGGCCATCCTCTGTAAGGACAGAGGGGCTCAAAGTTGAGTTCCCAGGAGGTAGGAGGGCATCCCCTTTGTCTCTAGGAGGAAAAACCCTTGCAATACCCCCAGCTAGGTTTGACCCATTGGAGAACACCAGTATTTGCACAGGAACACAAGGATACCCCTCTTTCCGTGGCTCGAAGGGAAATCGAAATAGAAGCCCCCCACTCCAGGAAGATTTGATTCTCTCCTAGAGACCAGGAGCTCCTTTATTCTGAGATTGGGAACCAAAGTGCCTGGTCCTCTGCCCAGACTTCCCCTGAGCCAGAAGGGCAGGGTTTGGAAGGGCATGTCTGCCCCTCGAATTGCCTGTTTGTTCCCTGATAACCTCTGCAGGGCCGGCGTGGTGACTCCAGGGCTCACTGAAGATCAGCTGTGGAGGGCCAAGTATGTGTATGATTCAGCCTTCCATCCGGACACAGGGGAAAAGGTGGTCCTTATTGGCCGCATGTCAGCGCAGGTTCCCATGAACATGACCATCACTGGCTGCATGCTCACCTTCTACAGGCAGGTTCTGTGCTGTGTGTCTCCTCCCTGAGTACTCTGTCCAACCTAGAGAATAGTTTGATGACTAGGTGCTTCCTCTCTAGGCTGGTGTTGGCACAAAATAGTAGGTGGGTGAGAGCTTGTGTTAGAATCCCTTCCCTTCCTCAGAACTCAGCCCTGGGGTTCCTCCCACCCCAGAGAGAGCAGGTGTTTTTGTGTAAGTGAGGAGGGTCATGCAGGGGTCACAAGAGCAGGATTTAGGGTCATCAACAGGCTCCCTCCTGAAGGTTTGAGAATAACCTATGGAGTTTCATTATCAGGGTCCAAGGATGTGGAGCACCGTAGAGGGGAAAGTAGTAAGTGTCTTTGTTCCCTCAGGAAGACCCCAACCGTGGTGTTCTGGCAGTGGGTGAACCAGTCCTTCAATGCTGTCGTTAACTACTCAAATCGAAGTGGCGATACTCCCATCACTGTGGGGTGAGAACTCCTCCCCAGAGATTCTTCTCCCCGCCCACCATTGCTCTCTACTGTTTGATCCTGTTCACGGAGTCTGTGTGGGCAGTGGTTCCGTGCCCTCCTCTCAGCCTGCCCTCCCCCCCACTTTCCTGGCCTGAGGGCATGGGGTCCTCTGGTGTATGCTTTGGGGGGCCACTCTTCTTCAAAGTTAGGGGTTGGAGCTTCCAGACGAATCTGCACTGGAGCACGGGAGGCTTTTATCTTCAATGAGGCCACCCTCCCACGCCCCATGGGTTGAGGATTTGGCATGTCCCTGAAGGAATAAACCATGTGCTAGACTGTTCACCTCTTCCCTTATGTCCTGGCTTTCCCACCCACAGGCAGCTGGGAACAGCTTACGTGAGTGCCACCACTGGGGCTGTGGCCACAGCCCTGGGACTCAAATCCCTCACCAAGGTAAATGACCCCACCCCCCCCCTTCCACTGGTCTCCAGTCATCCTTTATTGGCCTCTTTCCCCATCACATCTCCACACCAACCTATAGGCTTCATATGTCTCTTCCCAGAGCTCCTCACCACCCTATAGCCCTCAGGGTCACTAAATGACATCTTTCCTCCCCCAGCACCTGCCCCCTTTGGTTGGCAGATTTGTGCCCTTTGCAGCTGTGGCAGCTGCAAATTGCATCAACATCCCTCTGATGAGGCAAAGGTGAGTGGCCCAGACTCCTGGCCTGTGCATGCCCGGCATGCATGTGGGCACACCATCTAGTGGTGCACACTAGCCACAGTGGGGACCGTCCTCTCCCTGAGCATGCGCTGCTGAGCCCAGTCTCAGACGCTGGGATCTGGGATGAGAAAACCAGCCTTTCAATCTAGGATATCTGAGGGCACCCCAGGGGATAGCTGCCCATGAGGGCATTGTGGGTGGGATTTGGGGCCTGTAAACTGACCCCCACCCCTTCCCTTCTCAGGGAGCTGCAGGTGGGCATCCCTGTGACTGACGAGGCAGGTCAGAGGCTTGGCCACTCAGTGACTGCAGCCAAGCAGGGAATCTTCCAGGTGGTGATATCGAGAATCTGCATGGCGATTCCTGCCATGGGTGAGGCAGAGGTGGCTGGGTGGGGCACAGGAGGCTCTGAGAGAAGGGGGTGCAGTTCTTCAGAAGTTTTGAGGATTCCTGGGGGTAGTGGGAAGAACTGTGAAGGGGGATCCCCCTTCCTTAGTTTCTTGCTGACTGCCCTACTTTTCCCTCAGCCATTCCCCCTGTGATCATGGACACTTTGGAGAAGAAAGACTTCCTGAAGGTAGGTCACTCTCACCTCTCCTGTCCTGGACATAGTGGTGACTGGGAGCAGAAGTGACCAGTCCCTCACCCCCTCTCCAGCCTGACCCGAGTATCAGACTCGCCACGTGTTTGCCCCACCCCTGTGCTGCCTCCTCCACCTTCATTCATTCAGCAAGAATGAATTGGGCTGGAGTGAAGGAACATTGAGCAAACAATGTTCCTTCTATCCTGAAGGAGACTAGTGTCACTCAGAGCCTCTGACGCTTACCAAGGATGTACTGTCATAGATACACTTGCTATTGTACTCATGCGGTCATATAATAACAACAGTGAGACACGCGTGCATGCGCAAACAGGACAGGGAAAAAGGCCCAGGAATACAAGCTCTGGCTCATTCATTGGATCATTTATTCACAAATATTTATTGAACACCAACTATGAGCATTTGAGTAACAGAATGGGGTCCCTGTGGCCAGAGCAAATAGAGAAAGGTGTGCAGAGCAGAGATGTGTTTGGAAAGGGACAAATTCATGCCACTGAGATGGGAGGAAGTGAGGGGAGGGTCAGAGGAGGCTCCCTGAATAAGGCCGCTCCTGGAGGAAGCGAGGGAAGAGAAAGGGGCAGGGAGTGCCATGGGATCCAGTTCTGAGAGGCCAGAATGGGTGAGGTAACACTAGGGAGGGTGTCAGCAAACAGGCCTGGCTGAGTGGAAGGTGGTGATCTAAAGATCCAACCCTGTTATGGGTTTGAGAGAAAGAAAAGGGCCTTGTACCAGAGGCTGAAAGGCAGGGTTGATGGGACAGAGCCATGGTGGGTGAAATGGGGTGGGGGCAGAGGGGCAGGGGATACACGCCATCCCATTGTCTCTGTTTCCCCACAGCGCCGCCCCTGGCTGGGGGCACCCCTGCAGGTGGGACTGGTGGGCTTCTGGTAAGTGTGCATGGAGTTAGCCAGGGTGTGTGGGAGTGTCCTTTCCATGGTGGACATGGGTGGGTATTTATTGCTTTTAAGATGTTTCTATATACATCATTCATTCATACCTTGAGAGAATCCTCTGTATGTGAGGGGTTGATCCCTGTCCTTGAAGATCAAGAGTCTAGTTGAAGGGGTCCCTGTCTTCATGAGAGAAAACCATAATATCCCTCTGGGTACCTTCCAGGAGTTTCATGCACAGGGAATTCCTGATTCTCACTCACTGGCTGTGGAACTCTGGGTCACTGCTCTGGAGGGTCTTTCCTCAGCCAGAACCTAATGCCAGTGTTGGCTTTCATGTCTCCACCCCTAGGGGCAGTGTCCAGAAATGGGGTGGGGTGCAGGGAGGGAACACCCTTAGGTCAAAGCTTCACAAACCTTTCCAAACTCTTCTCCCCAGCCTGGTATTCGCCACCCCCCTGTGCTGTGCCCTTTTCCCCCAGAGAAGGTAAGTGCTGCTCTCAGGGCTTGGCTGGGGGCTCTGGACAGGTCTCTATATCTCTGGAACCAGCTGAGCCCGGAGTCTCTCAGCATGTTCTAGGAAGAGGCTTGGCAGGCACTCAGCTTGTTCTGGGGGTGGGGCAGTGGCAGTTATCTGGGCCTTCTGCCCTTCAATGGAGAACATTCTTCAGCTCGGGAAGAGGAGGGATGGTGATCCCTTAGCCTGAAGGGGGTTGGGTTCGGGATACTCAGCCTGCCTGTTCTGTTCTGTTGCAGCTCCATACATGTGAGCAGGCTGGAGCCAGAGCTGAGAGCTCAGATCCGTCAGCAAAATGCCAGCATCGAAGTGGTTTACTACAACAAAGGGCTCTGAGGGAGAGTGAGCCCTGGTCCCTCCCTCACTTCCTTGGGCTGCTCCACTGGTGGAGCCTTGCCATCCTGCTACTTTCTCTTCTGCCTGGTATGGGGCAGGGGGCTTGGTATGGAGCAGCCATTGAGACCAGCAATCCCACTAGGCTGAGGGAGGTACTCCAATAAGCTTTTTTCTCTCCTCTTTGATTCCAAAGAGCAGGGCCACATAATCCCTTTCTCCTGTGCTAGTGCGTCTTCGTATATGCATAAGTGATATGTGTGTACATGCTGTCCTGGAAGCTAGAAGCAGACATGCTGTCCTGGGATATCCTGATATCTGGCTTCTCCTCTTGGCCTCCTGTCACCTGTCAGCCAGCCAGGCTATGGGGCTTAAGACAGTTCCTCTGGTTAAGCCATTTCCGACAGCACCTCACTCCTTCTGGATATAGGAGAAGCCCCAGGATCTCAGGACTAAGGGACACTCGCAAACCAAACTGGGCTGAGTCCTTCAGATTTCTGCTTCCTGGCTCCCAAAGCTGAGCCGGGAACTGGGCTGGTAGAGGAAGACATGCCAGGTTAAGGGAGGCAGGGGCTTATACTGTCCCCCACATCCTGGAATAGATCATTTCCTCTCTGCTTCTCTACCAGAACAAAGGAATGTCAGTATCCTGTACTGCTCTTGCCATCTTCCCATTCCCTCTCCACTGCCATGTGGGCACCTTCAGGCATAATCCAGGTAGTTCTTGGTCCACTCTGACATTATAACCTCATATCTAACCTACAACTCCAAGCAAGAAGCCGCCAAGGCAGAGAAGCATTCCTCTTTCAGGGCTCCCATGGCGCCCCCTTCCGGAGGGACACAGCTGTGGGAGCAGTGCTTAAACTCCACAGGTACCTGAATGGGTGTAACTAGTACACCCTCAAGGGCAACTAAGGCCACAAATGTACAATCTTAAGACAGAGAATTTTGTGTTCCTTTGACCCTTGTTAAACATTTAGCCGAACCCCTCACCTCAGCCTCCTTTTCTTTCTTGAGGCTTGGCCCCGCTCCCATCCTCACCCCCAAGAGGAGGAGGGGCCCGGGCATCAGTGGCTGGTCCAAAGGGGAAGTGGGCTTGGGGATGGAGTGTGTGCTGGTAAACTAAGAGTACAGAGGTGGACCTTGATTCCCACTCCTATGACCTCTGGGCAAAGCAGTGGGGTGAAGTTCCCAGCAGGATCCCCTAAGAGCACTTTCCTGTTCCCCCAACCAGCAGCCATCAATAATAAAAGCTATGATGCCATCGTTACTCAATAAACTGAAAACTTGGCTACTTCTTGATCTTCACTTGATTCCAGGTCCTGAGTGCCCAGGAAGAGCCTCCTGTCTGTGGCCTCTCCCCTTCCCACACTGTCCAGGTCCTAGTCTCTTCCTCCCCTGCTATAGGGAGCCTCGGCTCCCAGTAGAGGGTGCTCTGACATTAGAAAACCAGTTTTCCATCAGCAGCACCTTGCGTACTAAAGGAGAGGGAATGCAGGTAGGTAGATGCCTCCACCTTCTATTCCCTCAGCAGGTGGAGTCCTGGCTTCATTTCCTTCTTCACCAGGATTGCTAATCACACACTTACATACCTACTCAGGCTCTGGGCTTCTTGGTTCCCTTCAGGCATTTGGCATGGGGTGGTAGTATCTGGTCCTCAGGGAGGCCCCTGCATAGAGGAAGAGCTAGAGAACTAAGGACTGCCCAGCATCATCAGAGAGAAGTTGTTAGTGCACCAACATACCCTCCACACCCCTCTATGCTCCCCCCCCTCCCCGCCATTGATACAACAGGGAAACAAATCTGGCAGGGACCATTTGCCACTTAACACCCCTTCCTCCTACCCCATGGCCCTCTACTCACTCCCTGTTTATGTAAGCCCCCCTTTTTTCTGGGATATATGAGGCCAAAGATGATGCCAATGTATAGCTGCTGAGCTACTATTAAACAGTTTATAGTTGCCTCTCTTATCATAAGTCTTGACTTTGGAAGATTCAAAAGAATAAACATGAATGAATCTATATTAAAATCCATTACCTACTCCCTACAGATTATACCTCTCATCTCCCTTTTTTTCAGCCCAGAGCTCTCAAACTGGGGTGGGGAGACATCTTTAGGGCTGAATGGTCCCACAGCAGCCGGAAGTGAACCCGTTACCTTGGTCTGGGCTCACTCGCTCCTCTTGGGAAGTTTACTTGTATGGGCAGTGGGAGTGACACCAGCTACTGTTCATTGAGCCCTACTGTGTGGGGCCAGGCTTACCGAAGCAAAGTGCTGTAAGTCCATTATCGCCTTTGACCTTCACAGCCACTCCTGTGAGGTCAGACATGTTGTATCCATTCTTAGCAAAGACACAGACTTAAAGACATTAAGAAAGTTGCCCACAGCTACACAGCTAGCAGATAGTGGGGGCAGAATTGAAGTTGAGCTGTGTGACTGAACCCACTGTGCTATGCTTCCTCTTCACCTGCCAGCAGCTAGCTGAACTTGAAGTCATTTTCCTAGTCCCTTTGACATTCAAGGCCAGCAAACTGATAGGCCCACAAACTGATAGTGTACACAGACCTATTTACTAAAAAGCCACTGAGGAGTTTCCAAGTTTGAGGGTTTTATAGCTGAAGGCATATAAGCAAAGATTCTCATTCTTTTTTTTTTTTTAATCCTCACCCAAGGATATTTTTCCATTTATATTCAGGTAGAATGGGAGGGAGGGAGAGAGAGAGAAAGAGAGAGAGAAACACTGATGTGAGAGAGAGACATTGACTGGTTGCCTCCCACACGACCCCGACCAGGGCCGGGGACGAACCACAACTGAGGTGCATGCCCCTGACTGAATCAAACCCAGGATTCATTGGTCCACAGAGTGATACTCTAACTGCTGAGCCAAACTAGCCAGGGCAAGATTCCCATTCTTGATTAAATAGAGAACTAGTTTCAATTCGATCCTGTTCTGCCAATCCGCACCAGTGCCTTCCTCCAAGCCCACTGGAACCCTGGCTCAATTCTTGAAACCTCTTTCTGCAGTTATAATTTTGGCCTTTGGTAATCCCCTTAAAAAGAGGTCTTATGCCCTGGCCAGTTTTCTCAGTGGTTAGAGCGTCAGCCCGCAGACCAAGGAGTCACGGGTTCGATTCCGGCCAAGGGCATGTACCTGGGTTGTGGTTTGTCCTGGCCCTGGTCATGGTCATGTGGGAGGCAATCAATCGATGTGTCACTCTCTCTCTCCCTTCCTCCCTCCCTCCTATTCTATCTGAAGATAAATGGAAAAATATCCTTGGATGAGGCTTAAAAAAAGAGGTCTTGTACTTTTTAAAAAATCCTCACCTGAGGATATGTTTCCACTTATCTTCAGATAGAGTGGGAGAGAGAGAGAAACATCGATGTGAGAGAGACACATTGACTGGCTGCCTTCCTCATGACCCCGACCAGGGCCAACGACTGAACTGCAGCCGAGGTACGCACCCTTGACCAGAATCAAACCTGAGTCTCTGGTCCGCGGGCCATTGGTCTAATTGCTGAGCCAAACTGGCCAGGGCAGGCCTTGCACTTTTATTGGAAAGTCTATGTAAGATAAACTCACTTGGAGAGTGAGGTGCAGGAATCTCTGTAAAACAAAATCATTAAGAACATTTTATAACATAATTATCTGTGTTCTGCAGATAACACCAAACCATGTCAGAAAGAAGACTGGCCAGGGCACCAGTGGACCAGTTAGGAAGGAATGCTTTCCTGCCATCTTTCCTAATTCCATACCAGCTCCTCACAGCAAGCAATTAGCTTTAGGCTATCTTGACAGGCTTTCTAGGGGCAAATCCTAGCCAGGTACATTTTCCAAACTGTCTCCATGTACTTACTTTTCCATGGAATCAGCATTTGGGCAGAGGTAGCACTTTTCTCACTGGAAAGTAATCTGTCCCATTCTTGGGCCTCCCCTCTTCCTCCTAGTGCTCAGGTTCCAGGAACCTTCTCTAGGAGCCTGCATTTGTGTCCTTGGCCTCCCTCCCTGGCCTCCTTTCCCGGCCTGGCCTCATGTGCTTCAGAGCCCCCACCCTGCCCATTATTAAGAAAGTCCATAAATCTCTCTCTCTTGGCCCAAGGTGTAAGGGGGAAAATAGCGTGGTGCTGGAGCCCTGGCCTAGCCTAGCCATGGGAAGGCGGCCATGTATCCTGCTTTTTTTCCCTGATCATTGGGTCTAAGGTGGCCCGCATTTTAGGGACCGGTTAGTCCTTACTGGTTAGAGCCGGCTTCAGCTCGGGTCCTATAGACCCATGCCAGTCAGTCCAGCCTAGTGCCCGGGGTCCGGTGGCCTAAGGGTCGGAGCCAAGACCCCCTTTCCTCCCAGACAAGCTTGTCAGTCTCAAGCCAGGCCCGCTCGGGGAGTCTGTCAGTAGGTAAGTCACCCTCTGGGACATAGCCAATCAGGAGCAGAGTCCCGCCCCTGCTGTGGCCCCTGTCTGTCAAAGTTTGGCTCGGCTCCACCTTCCCGTTTCCCGGGCAACGGCTTTAGCGCCGCAGGCCTGAAATACAATTCATCTTCCCTACCTGAGCCTGAAACCTGCGTCTCAGGATCAGCTTCCCGGGTGAGCCCGGTCCTGCCCGCTAAACCCGTCAAGTCCCCTTCCTCCTTGCCAGTTTCGAAGCCCAAAAGCGCCTCTGCGCCCGCCCTTTGACTTCCTGCCCGGAAATCCGCGAGGTTTTCGAAGAATCACGCGAGGTCCCTCTGGGCCCCAAGCCCGGACTATTCCAGCGGCCACCGGCGCTATTGGCCCTGCCCTGTGTGCTGTCCACCCTCCCACCTCCTCTCCGCTCCGGTGTCCTCCGTTCAGGAAACATTTACTGAACTCTGTTAAGGTGGTTCTGTGCCCGGCGCTCGATAGCAATGGCCCGCTGGGTGAACAGACTCCCTTTCCGTCGGCAGGGACACAGCCTGTATCCAGCAGTCACTGAGGCGCCTCTCCCTGTCCCCTCTTCGTCTGTCCTCCCGCACGTTGCAGTGATCTGCGGTCTTCGTGTGGGGGCAATCCTTTGCTAGAAATTGTGGCGGAATCTTGGTCTTGTTGGGTCATTTCCCAAAGGGAGCTTCCTGGGCAGCTTCCTTCTCTCTTCCTAGGTACACAACGTCTTTTCCCTCCGAGGCAGCCCCAGCACAGGCCGCCAGAGGGACAATGGCACCCTCAGCTTCAGGTCACAGCTTCGTTTTTTTTCAATCTCCTCAGACAAGGGAGGTTTTGCAACTGAATTAACGACTAGGAGAATGTGGGAGGAACCCTGCATAGCTTGAGCTCCACATACAACCTCTTCCTCCCTGCCACTTCATACATCCAGTAGGAAAATAATCCGTGCCTTTAACAAGCAACAAGCAGCTCCTTCAGAGTGAAGGGTTTGTTTAAGGAGCAAGAGTTTGCTATGTTGATCTATAAATGAATCAATTAAACACATATGCTATTTTCTTTTTCTTTAATGATTACCGGAAAGAGATTTTAATTTTGTAAAGTTGGAATATATTTTTATTGATTTGAGAGAGAGAGATTTGTTGTTATGTTTATTTATGCCATCACTGGTTAATTCTTGCATGTGCCCTGACAGGGCCACCTATGTTATTTTCTGACTGAAGATTTCCCCTCCTCTATCACTAGTAAGTTCTCAATCGACAACTTTAATTTTATTTATTTATTTCTTTTGGGGGTGGTGAGTGATAAAAAAATTTTTTATTCTTTCTCACCACACTCCGTAAAACTTGCTTTGTGGAAATTGCAACTTTTATTTTCTAGAATGAGCATTTCTGGTTTGGTTTTAATTGAAGTTATTTTGTGGAAAATAGCAGACAATAATTGTGTCTAGTTTCAGTAAATAGAGAGATGCATTGGAAGGATTTGTCAGTAGCTCTAAGAACCAAAGATGGAACTAACCAACTTGGCCTTGGAAAGGGCAGAAAGCTGGGCAGCTCTGATGGCCTCAGTAACTGGAGTTTATGGGCTCTGCCACTAAGGTACAGCTTCAACCAGCTCCAGTCTCTAATCTCTCCATTCAAATTTCAAATATTGGTACAGCTTGGATCAGTTGTCTACCCTTCGGAGATGGCCAGAGGTCAGAGGCAATTGCAAGGACAATGGACATCATTACTTCAGGTTCACCTCTGTGGTTGTGGCTGTTCCCAAAGTAGGGCCATTGTTGTGAGCTGGGAATCACCCTGATTGGTGTTTATTACAACATGTGTTATTATGGGTCCTATACAGATGATTCTCTTCGGTTTAAATGAAAAACACCCTGAGGGCAGGCACCATATCTTCACCTTTTTCCTAATTGTGATAAAGAAAACACATAACATAAAATTTACCTCAACAATGTTTTTTTTTTATCCTCTCCCAAGGACATTTTTGCATTTATCTTCAGATAGAGCGGGAGGGAGAGAGGGAGGAAGAGAGAGAGAGAAACATCGATGTGTGTAGAGAGATACACATCGACTGGTTGCCACCCACATGACCCCAACCAGGGCCAGGGACAAACTGCAACTGAGGTATGGCCCTTAGCAGAAACCAAACCCGGGACTCCCTGTTCCGCAGGCCAACACTCTAACTGCTGAGTCAAACCAGTCAGGAGGACCTCAACAATGTTTAAATGTACAGTTCAGTGGTATTAAGTGTATTCACACTTTTGTGAAACAGATCTCCATAACTTTTTTATTTTGCACAAC